CCCTGGCTTGTTTTTGAGGTTTGGAAGGGGAAAAGTTTTTTTCCTTTTAAAAATTTCCCAAAAAAAAAAAAAAAAAAAGTAAAGAGAACATTTGTAAAAACAAAATCGATTTAATCAGATTAGCTACTGGAATAAAAGATGAATTTATTCTAAGGCTCTTTACGTATCTTTACCAGAGATTTGTCTGCCATTTGTGTATCACCACCCATTTATCCACAAACAGGAAGCAGGAGACGGATAAACACACACGCATGTGGGAACCCTGCATGCAGCCGTCAGTAGAGAGAAAACATGCGTATGGCTCCGACAGTCACTGTTTACTAACTACATGGAGACAAATAGGGCACATTCTGCTTAAATGCCCTCGCATTGCACTTTATATCACACAAAGATATATTTAGTTTCCCATGTTGTACCTCCTAATAGCTCCACTGTAAGTCCAAAGTGCATAAGACAGAAATACACACACACATACACACCCTTTTCATGCAGGAGCTCTTAATGTTGTACACAGGACAGCCAAAAAGCACAATACTTTTTACCAACATATCTTTATGTGCATTTTTTTATTTATTATTTATTTAGTTTTAAGTATCTTTTGTCATGTCATCAATGGTTGCTCTCAGTCCCATTGTCTTGTTTCTCCGGTACATTAGCACAACAAAGTCGTGGTTCTGCTGAGCAACAGGGTATCGGCCGGCTGTGTTTGCAGAGCGTAATCTGAGCTGGGTGAGCCACATCATTTGTTCACTTTCTCTCCATTTTCTCAGGTTAGGCTCTTGGCAACAATTAGAGTGGAGGATAATCTGCTTGTGTACTTTTTAAACCCAAAGACAAAGATGATAACCCATTTTAACTGTGTTCCCTCCTCTTTGGAGAGAAGCAAAACAACAACAACAAAAAAACTAAAAAAAAAGAAAAAAAAAAGCACAGCAACTGTTCCTCGTCCACCGCTTGTGTTTGTGTGCAGCATTATCAAAGATCGGGCATTTTAATGGGGGACGTTTTACTTGAAGACCTGCTCATTTTAAGTGGAATGACCTAAAACATGCTCCGGATGCGTAGCTATAATAAATACGCATGAAAAGTTCTTCAAGTAAGACGTCGCCCTTGTAAAGAAACACTTTAACACTGTCTGTCTGGAAGGAGACTCTTTGTAAGCAGGAAGTGCGGTCACTGTAGTTGCAATGTACTGTAATTTTCCATCCAGTAATATTGCTCATCATATCATCTGGCTATTGATGCATCAGCTCTTCAGATTTATCAGTTTAGATCCAAATGTGAATATGTAACTAAAGATTTCACTTCATGGCTATTACTACTTATTATTATTAATAATATTATTTTTTATTTTATTTGTTTTCTGAATGTATTTGTTGTTATTGCTGTGTTGTACTTTGCACTAATGTGAGGTCCTCTGAAACTCCACAATTACCTTGTAAACGTACCCTTTACATGTTAGAGGCCAGGGATGCTTTATTGATTTTATTTCTTTTTTTTTTTTACATATATATTTAAATATATATCAAAGAAAACACATTTGATTTAAATTATGTTTTCAATATCTTAATTTTGACTTGTAACATTTTTTTTCTGATGCCAGATAGATGAGGTGCAGCCGACAGGGCATGTGGTTATCTAAATATATAACACCAGAATAAACAAAAAGACCTGCAGTGATTTTTCAGGCCCACCTCCGACGGCTGATCTAATCTAACAGCGGCACACGCTGCATAAAAAAAAAAAAAAAAATCAGCTCGACACGCCTGGTTGCTTT